TGAGCTAAATCCCCAGCCCTAGCTCAGTGGTTTTTGACAGTACAGTTTGTATCAGTTTTCCTACTTATACGCAAATGAAGCAGTGTCTTGAACCTTAATAACAATGTGTGACAAGATTCAACTTGTTTGGTGCAGTTGGTTGTTGAGCTACAACTGTTGTGTTGTTTTAAAGTGTGCCATAAATCACAGATCGTGAGCAACGCATTTCATAGAAATTGTGAGATCCAGTCACTTCACATTCTGTCAAATAAAAACATTATGGTGTGTCCTCATCCACCTTATTCATTGGATCTGGCACCCTGTGACTTCTGGCTCCTCCCAAAGTAAAAATGACCATGAAAGGTAAATGTTTTGAATCAGCTCAAGACAAAGAAGCAACCTTGACAGCTCGACTAAAGACAAGAAAGAGAACTTCCAGAAATGCTTCAAAAGTGGCAAGAAAAATGGGAAGAGTGTGTTTGAAGCAAGGAGAGTATTTTTTTTTTTTGGTACTGGGGATCAAACTCGGGACTTTGCACTTGCAAGGCAGGCACTGGAACCACTGAGCTAAATATCTGGCCCATGAGGGGAGTATTTTGAGGGGGGTTAATGACAATGTGTCTTTTACTATAATAATTTTTAAAAGGTTTAAATAGTCACTGTATTTTTAATCACAAATCAGTTTTATGTATTTATAAAACAAAAAAATATATTTTAAATATATATTTTATACATTTGTAAACCACACACATATATCAAATTGAAAATTAGTGATTTTCCATTTCATTATATATGAAGTATACCTCAACAAGGAGAAGCATTGTAAAAGATGATGCTATTATTCAATAGCTGGTTAGGTACATCTTGATTTGTGTGGAGGATTTTATCCATCCTTATTTCCTTATCTCTCCTAAAAAACCCTGTAAAAACTACAATCCAAGGTAAAGCCACAAATTCACTATGTAAGCAGCTAACAGAAAACAGTGTTTGCTATCCAAATGCAGTCTTTATGGAGGTTCCATAGCGTTCACTTCCAAGGATAGTTCAGGTATGTCTCTGCTACATGAAATTCCAGAGCTGTCACTGCGGTTCCACTTTTTACTTTATTCTATAAACAGTGCTGCACAGCTATACATTCGCAAGTGTAGAGCTAGACTTCATGCTTTTCAATAACGATAGAATATTTCATTGCATAATCTCCTAGTGATGGATATTTAGGTTGTTTATAGCTTTTTAAAATTCAGTGAGGCATGATGCTAATACAGGAATAAATTCCTAAAAGTGTGAAATATTTTATTAAGTGTTGCTAAACTGTCTCCAAAAAGAAACTGAACTAAATCTATTCTCCCTCCAAGGATGTATGATAGCATTTATTGTCCCCATTGAATATTGTCAATTTTTTCCCCCCATTTTTGTCAAACAGACTATACTAACAAACCTGCAAACAGCTCACTGGCTTTATGAACTAGGTTTAACATCTTTTTTTTTTTTGGTATTGGGAATCGAACTCAGGACCTTGTGCTTGTGAGGCAGATGGTGGCACCACTGAGCTAAATCCCCAGGCCTAAGTTTAGGATCCTTTAAAATCTTGTGTTTTAATAAGTTATTACTACAGAAGCGGGGAGGAACAAGCATGGAGAAGAGAGATGAAGAGACAGACATATAGACTTCTTAGCATTTGAGCCATCGTTGAGTGCTACAGTACTTGTCTTGAGGCAGGCAAGAAGGAATTTGTCAAACTAGTTGATAAAATCAAGGTCATCTCCACAAGGATGTTGCATTTGAGTTTCTAATTCTTTTGAGAGTCTGTCATGGCCTTATCTATTACTTTAATCATCAGTTTTTGATACCAATATTATACTGTGTTTACAGGGGGAAAAACCCTTAAAAATCTTTACAAGCCCTTAATGATACATGATAATAGCTCAATATGTTTCCAATATTGTAGCTCTTTTCATGTCTTCATAATTTATAAAACATTTGAATGCATTTCCTCTGAGAAAATGTATATGGTTGCCTCTTACCTAGGACCTTTTGTATTTCTGCAAATACATTGCAGTGCATTATTTAATGTCTAACAGACTAAACCATGAATAACTATAATAGCAAAGATCATACAGAATAGCAATAACATCTTGCAGGCAACCTGGGAAAATGGGCTACAGAGGGCTATTGAAATTGTATTTTGGCGAGTATCGTGTACTGTCTTATTTTTCCAATGCCAAGTGTTTTTGTAATCATCTTCTGCTGGTTTCATAGACTTCATTATATCTTTTTATCAATTGTCAGAATAAGAGGCTATTAGCTACTCTTCAGAGTATTAATTATATAGTAAAATTATTATACTTTTATATTAATATAATTATATATTAATTATGTAATACGCTACCATCTTAAATTGCATGCATTGGTGCTTGATAGTATCTATCACAAAAAACTGCCGGAACCACAACTTTGCACCAAGGCAACTGCAATCTTACACAGAACTAATTCTACATCCATCTAGGAACTGTTCAGTTTTGATTGGCACCACCCTCATCATTGGTTCTTGTGACCAAGGATTATTCTTTTAAAATATGTAATCCTCCTCGGTTTTGCCTTTAAAAACTTTCTCTTACCTCAATCTTTTAAAATATGCTCTTTGTTTACTATGGTGTATTTATTTCCATTGCAGCGCTGTGCCATTCCCAAATAAGTATTATTATTCTTTGAGAAATCTCTCACTGATAGTTATTTGGGTTGTGGTGTAAAATGAATATAAATGCTTTTCTCCCAGTTTTTTGACTAATGCATTCTTTATTATTACATTATTATTTTATATTAGCTATCAATATACCTTTCTAACTACTTGAATTTTTAAATTTTCTTTTTCTAAGAGTTCTCATTCTATTATTTATCCCATGATAAATAATTGTCAAAAGAAACCAGCTTATTTGTCCTATGAATCTCCCACATTCTGTATTTGGTTAAATTTATCCTTTTGATGTTGTTTTATAGACTCTTCTGCATTCTTTTCCCATATAAATAACCTGTAGTTAGGTCTAAGATTTGCTTAGACACAGGTTCTTGGCTTATTAATCATAGGCAATACCATGTATATATCTCTATTGTATCATTCCAAGAAAAACATATCTGGTTGTCTCACTTTTAGGAAGATTCAGATTGATCGGTGGGTTTAATTGTCTGATCATTGTAAAATTTCCACCATCCTTCTGACTAATGATTTAGCAGCTATGACAATCATTGCCTAGATTGACTGTTTCATGGGTGAAAAGTGATTTTCTAAGTCTACCACTTCTCTTAAATTTGTTAGTTGTGATTTTTCTATAAAAATATGTAATATATATACAAAATATAATATTTTCCTCATCAATTCTGGCTATCCTGAATGGATAACCATTCCTGAATGGATAGGAATGGCAGGAAAAATGGTTTATTTTTCTCCTTTATTAATTTTAGAATAAAATTAATGGTGCCTAGCAACCTCCAAAACTACTTAATTACTATTTTTAGTGAAATACTAGGTTTTTAATATTTGACGTGTTTCAACATATTAAAAAAATTTTCCAGTTAATTAAAAAGAAAAATGAGTTCTATTTCAAACACTGAAACCTGAAATGTCTGGGTAGCCTGATGGTTCAGTTTCATAACTTAACACATCCTGGTTAAAATAGTTTGAATTGGACTGGAGCCTACATTCCTAGTAAAGTTGCCCTATCCATTTTTCCATCTCAGCCCTGAACTGAAATTTTGAATTTTGTAAAAACAAATTTTTCTTTACAAATTAATTTTTTCAATTGTGATTTTTTTTCCTTTTAAAGTCAGACTGGTATTATGAGGTTTATCTCTGAAATTCCTCCTTTATGCTGGGACCATCACCAATGTGGATGAGCAGGAGAGCAAATAGGAATTTTGGTGCGATTTAAATTTGCAGGATACAGTATAGGTGAACAAGTGTGACAAGAACAGAGGTTCTTTGCCTATTTATTATTGCTCTGCTTACTTACAGAGTTGAGGTGAAGAATGCTTTACTAAGTTTAAAAGTCAGGAACTACTAATCATGTGGTTTTTGTCTGACCATGTGTTTTAAACATCAGTGACTTAAATAGGATTTAAATGATACAAAGAAAAAATAATGAGAAAGTCACTCCAGGCAATGATAAGGGGAGTGAACCATGGAGTCAGAAAACCCTAGTTGTATTCACTTACTTAACAAAACTTTAAAGATTGTAATATGTGCTAGACACTAGAAATTCCAAGGTGAATACTAAATACTGGCTACGGGAAAGCAGCCCAGTCTTGCCTTGATCTTTCTCTTCCTTGTCAAGTTGAAGCTCACCTGGCTTTGTTTTAAATTAGTGTAACGCAGGAACATATGTTCTCTTGAGCGATTTCGTAGATGCGTTGCACTTACACATTTAAGACATCTGATGACACTAGGCAATTGAAACTTTTATTGACTGAAATGTCCTTATGCGAAGCTTGAATATAGTTTAAAAACTTTCAAGTAGATTGAAACACATCAAATATGCAAAATTCTAGTACTGCATCAAAAAATTATTACTTTGGAGGTTGCTAGGCAGCACTGTTATTTCTAAAAATTGATAAAGAGGGAAAATAAAGCCATTATACTGTTTTCCCGACATAATATGGGTTTCAGGATTGAAGAGAGAAAAATACAAATGCACCCATTAGATTAATTAGTTTGTCTACCTTCTCAGATCCTTGGGGATGAAGTGTCAAAGGTATTCAGGTGGAAGGAAGAACTCGGTGGATTGGTGGACTGCAAAAACATTTTGGGTCTACCACTATATTCTGCCTTTAGAAAGCCTAAGACTAGGGCTGCCAGAGCGAGCAGGCTGACAGTCCTAGATCTGGATCACAAGCACCAGGTAGGTACACTACAGGTGATGTGACATCTGGGTTTAGCCTGGGGTATGACTGAGACACAGCTGTCTTTCTGGTCCCTTCGACAGCAAACCCGGTTCCCTTGTCACCCAGAGAAGAGGGCAAAACAGACCGGGAACCACAGAGCCATCCCCAGAGGTGGACCGGAAACCCAGAGCTCAAAACCACTAGCCAATTCCGGCTGCAGGGGCCAGAGGGCGGAGCCTCGTGTAGCGAGGCTCCGACGTGCGGTGCGTGCGCTGCTGCTGCCGCTCCCTGCGGGCGATGCGGGCGACGCGGGCGACTCTGCAGAGCAGGAGAGCGAGGCCTTCGACCTCTTGACGCTTTTGGTCAAGGCCTAGCTATTGCCACGAGTTTCATTAGTATTTTTAAACTCTGAATTCCTGCTGGCCCGCAAAGCATCCTTTTGTTTTCAAGAAAGGGGAAATTCAAGGAGAGTTTTAAAAGACTTTGAATTCGAGGCCAAGATGGAGGAAGACGCCCAGGCTCCAGACTGGGACAGTGATGAAACCGTGATTGAGGGGTCGGTGGCAGAGAGCGACAAAGAAGACGAGGAGCTGCCCTGGACAAGGTGACTACTGCTCGGCTGTGGCCACGGCACCGAACCTGACCCTGGGATTTTGGGGTTGCGTGGAGGCGGCCTGCAGCGTAGGGACGGGCAGTGTCTGCACGTGGAAAATGTAAAGCAGCAAGCACTGTTGACCCTCATCCTGGTGAGGAGGGACGACGTGAGGTACACAGTGGGTGGCTTTTTGGCGTTAACGAAAAGCCTTTACTCGTAGGTTGGGCCCAGGAGTCCTGCTGCACAGGCAATCTTGGCTCTAAATTCCTAAAATACATGCTGCTTCAAGTTGATTTACAGAATTTCTCTCAGGGAAAATGTGTGATAGTGAAACTGGTTCCTACCACTCTATTATGGATGTTGTATTCGATTAAAGTTGATATTTATTGAGTATGTTCTCTGGGATACATGAAGGAAGAAAATTTAAACGCTGAGGTTACTACCTCCGAGAAATGTTGAGGACAGGAAAAAATACTTCAGCAGATTATTTCAGTATAATGTGGGAAGAGAAGTGTGCTCGGGCTTCTTTGGGAGCCCGAAAGGACTCTTAGTTCAACCTAAGTGGTTGTCAGAGTTTCCTGAGGTTGACTTCTGAATAGAAGCTAAGAGGTGGGTCAGGAATTAGCCAGAGGAGGAAGAGACTGTGTTCTTGGACAAGAAACTACGTGGGAAAAGGTGTAGAGGTGAGACCAACACTTAAAGCCTATAGATTTGTAAAATGTGTGGTAGGGAGTAGCAAAAGAGAAAGTGGGGTGAAAATGTGTTTGTGCCACTTCTTCATACTCAAGCTTCACTGCACCATTTCATTTGAATTACTGTTCTCTTTTTTTTCCTCTGCTTTAAAAAAAATTTTTCTCAGACATTTGATTAGGATGGGCACAACTTTCTTTGTGTTTTTCCTCCTTTCATGGAGCATGTTGAATCTGTAAATTCACGTCTCTCATGTCAAGTTTAGGAAGTTTTCTGTCATCTTTTTTTTTCTGTACCAGTTTCTCCTTTCCTTCTGATACTTCAGTGACATAAATGTTAGATCTTCTGACATTGTTCGCCAAATCACTGAGTCTCTATTTACTTAAAATATTTTTTCTCTCAGTTTATAACTTCTAATGCTATATTTTCAAGTTCACTTACCCTGTCCTTTGTCATTTCCATTTTGTTGTTGAGCCTGTTTGACAATTTTTTTTTTTTAATTTCTGATGCAGTTTTTTTTCTTCTAAAATATCCATGTAGTTCTCTTGGTTTAGGGTTTATTTCTCTCCTGAGAACCTCAATATTTCCATTTTGCTAATGCTCACTTTTATCCTAAGGAGGATAGTTATAAAGCTGCTTTAAAGTCTTTGTCTTGTAAGTCTGACGTCAGGGATGTAGGTTAGGGGATCTTTTTCATGTTGAGTAATTTTGGATTGTATCCTGGAAATTTTGAATTTTATGTTGTGGATTCTTGGCCTTGTTAAAACCCTTGCAGGGACGTCTAACCTTTAGGCTTGCCTGGGCTACACTGAGTGAAGAGGGATTGTCTTGGGCTGCAAATAAAATACATAATATAGTTAATGTATATAAGTAACAAAATTTTCTTTTAAAAATATTTGTTATACAACGTTAAAGAAAAAGAAGACCACAGGTTTCGCATGCCTGCTGGATAGAGTGTTGTTTTTGTTTTAACGGGCAAGTCAATGTGACTAGGTTCAGACTGTACATTTTGTTTTGCCTTCTGTGTGAGGTGGCTATGTCCGTCTTCCTTATGCTGTTTGAGCCTGATGCTTATACTTCTCAGGGATTTTAATCCAGGTCTTGGGCAGTAGATAATATCATAGTTCAGTTCCATAAGCCTTTGTTATATTTCCTTGGCTGCACTACATGTGGACAGCTCAGAGTTTTGCTTAGGACTTTTCATTGGTTCCCTTTTCTTTTGCCAGGATTTTTTTTTTTTTTTTTGAGACAAGATCTTACTATGTAGCTAAGGCTGGCCTTGAACTCACAGTGATCCTTTGGCCTCTGCCTCCTGAATGCTGGGATTAACAAGCATGTGCCATGACAGCTGGCTTTTGCCAGGATTCTTCCTACTGATATCTTCTCTAGGATTCTTATTTCTCCTTGTACCCATTTGCTGTTTCATATGATCAGAAAGACCCGTTTTTCTCAATGTCAGCCTTCTCATTAGAATAGTTCCCTAAACCTGGAGCAACCTTCAGGGCAGTGTTAGGAAAAGAGGAAGGAGAAGGAGATTCTTGCCATGTTCTTTAGGCTACACAGACTTTAAACTGCTGTGGTTATTGGCAGTACAGCTTTGATGCTGGCAGTAGCCTTAGGCAGGGTTGAAAGGTAGGAGAAGAACAAAAGAAAACTTGGGATTTTTTTGCATGCCTTCTAGCAGGCTCCCCTTTCCTTAGTCTTCTGGATAGAAACAGGCTTTTCTTTTTGTTTTCTGTGTTCTCTGTGTAGTTCTGGGATTAGGCCTTCAATCAAACCTAAAACACAGAAAAGGGAACAAAAGACAAAACAAAAAATAAAATGAAACTCACATCTATAGATGGTTATTCAGATTTCAACTTTGGCCCTCAATCTACCTGTTTTTTACTTTTCAGAATTCTGAGGTAGCTTTTAAGACATACTTCCCCGAAGTATTTAGTTGTGAGTGGAGAATTAGGCTATAAGTGGTTCACTTTGTCTTGACAGACTAATCTTTTTCTTTTATTGATTTTTAAACACTTGTTTGCAGTGTTGTAAAACATTATTTTTTAGACCTTACAGCCCCAAGTTAAAAATTAATGTTCTTTCATTTGCACTGAAATACAGTCAGAGTCTAAGCCAGTGCTTTTAGTTTTTGTTTTCTTCATCTTCTTTGTTAACTTGTATGTAGTTCATTCTGTTTTTCATGTGTAAGTTCTCAATTTTGGAATGAGAAATGCAGTACAGTAGAGCTCTCCAACAGGCAGGATATTATATAGTTGGATACAGCTAAACAATCCTTAAGAAGTATTGTAGCTACTAAGATCTTTTTGCAGAGAACTGAGAATTGGTGCCCTTTGGGAATAGAAAGGGCAAGGCTTTCAGAGACTCAAGATGCAAGGTGTTAACTTTGTGTGAGGAAGTGCTCAAGAGCTTGCACTTGGTTGTTTTTACTGCTGCTTCTGGAAACCTTGTTCATTTAGTCCACAGTGGGGTTCTGTAGGTGTTGCTACAAATCTTCTGTAAATATTCAAGTGGGTAATACTTTTTAGGGGGATGGTTAATGGGAATTGAACCCAGGGAACTCTACCACTGAGGTACATTTCTGGCCTTTTTTATTTTTTTAACTTTGAGACAGGGCCTTACTAAGTTGACCAGACTGGCCTCAAACTTCTAATACTCTTGCCTCAGCCTCCTAGATCATTGGAATTATAGTCACTATACCAGGCTAGTAGGGTTTTGTTTGTAATTTATTTTCTAAGAGGCAGGATTCATTTTTCTTAGATGTCCTCTAGGAATTTAACTACCAATCCTTATTTTCTGTCTTAACCTCTGGTGATGTTAACCACTTAATAACATTAAGACATATGTTTCAATTTAATCTCATTGAGGATTAACTGAACTACTTCATTGTTATGTGGATTTGAATGTATGTTAAGGTCAAAGGTCTTCTGAACACTATAATTGCATAAATAAAAAAGGCTAACTCAACATAATTACCATGAAAAGTGCGAAGTCTGACTCTCAAGAAAGACTAACACTGTACACATATGAATTGTTTAAAAAGAAAATATCTTACAAAGGATATAAGATAACTTGAGCGATGATAGGAATAGAAGGCAAGGGATGAGAGATACAGAGTTAATCATCAAATTATCTAATAGAAGCAACAATTTCAGAAGGAGCTATGTTGAAATAGAGGCTTTTCCCTAAGGTAGAAGGTGCCAAGTACTATGTTTAGAACCAATATTTGGATAGGATATTTTAAATGGATTTTTATGAGTCAAAGGCTTAGCATGACATTAGGACCTTGTTGCTGTCAACATTTTGATCATGTCAAACAGAAATCCTAATTGTCATAAAACATTTAATTTTAGGGCTGGGAATTTAGCTCAGTGGTTCCGGTGCCTGCCTCGCAAGCGCAAGGTCCCGAGTTCGATTCCCCGTACCAAAAAAAAATTTAATTTTATTGGGCTGAGGATTTAGCTCAGTGGTTCTGCCACCTGCCTCGCAAGTGCAAGGACCTGAGTTTGATCCCTGGTAGCAAAAAAAAAAAAAAATTTAATTTTACTTTTAACAAAGCAGTGAAAACTGCTTCAGGTCTTAAATCATATTTCACCTGAAGCTTTTCCTTTTAATCCAACCAGTTAATTTCCCTTCCCTGTTTCATAGTTAATACTTCTCAATATTTCATCTTCCTAATATTCCAAAGTTATAGTTCATGATTGAAGTACTGAACCCATCAAAAGTAATCAGTGACTTTTGGGGTATTAGTTATTGATGTAGAATAATGGTTTGACTAAGCATCAGTAAATTAAGGTTGTGTTTTTAGTTGGTTTGTTGACTAAACATGAATAAGTGATTTTTCTGGATCTCACTTATTAAGGGTTATATCTGGTTGTCTCCCCAAAGCTTCGTGCACATGTAGAAGGTGATTGAATTGTGGGGCGCTACGCCTGCCTTGGTGTCCACAGGTGAGAAGAGGTGGGTCATTGTCAGTGTGACCTAAAAGGGTTTATCTATCTCCCTGGCTTGCCCTTCCTCTCTGCTTCCTGTCCACCATGCCCCTCTGCCATGCTGTCCTGCCTTGGAACCAGCTGACTATGAACTGAAAAATGAGCCAAAATAAACCTCTCCTCCTTTAAATTCTGGATGTTGGGCACGGTGTTTCAGTGATGAGAAAGTGACTAAGGTACCACTCTTCATTTTCCTTTAAGGACTAAATATAGCCCTAACTCCTTCTTTAAGAAAATAGTGAAAAAAGCCCCAATAATTTACATATAAGGAAATTATCTCAGAGATAACGTGCAAAAACAAGAATTTAAAAATGTATACTAATT